CACACACACACACACACACACACACACACACACACACACACACACACACACACACTGATGTTGTTCCTATTTCGCTTAAACAGGGAAGTCAGTTCACACAGCGTGACCTCTGCAGTTTTTCCTTCTCAAAAGTATTTGCAACAATGCCAGCAGATTAAATGTGTGGGTTGGGGACTGGAGAAAGTGCACGCTGTCTTGCTTGGGGCCCCCCCTGATCTCAGAGTTTTGGTTTTCATCGCACAGGGTGAGAGATTTCTCCTGGATATTTAAGCCTGTGTGACTACAGGTGGGTGGTTCACATCATGTAAGTGGCAGCCGCTGTGGATTTATTACTGAAGTACAGAGGAGGTGGCTGTGGGCAAATTGTATCGCCATCACCATTACTCTGCTAAGTCTCACACTATTTAGAATCCTTTATGCACTTAGTTGGTATTTAAAGAAATAACTAACATCCTGTAGGTGTTTTTCCACATAAACAAATATAAGTTAGTTTGATATTGAGACAAAGAAGGACAAGTGAGGGTATTCTTTGTGCTAAAATATTGATGCACATCAGTTTGCTGTGAGAAAATGAAGTCAGGTGTTTAGTGTTGAAACACATGATTTCTGTCATTTTTTCAGTCAGAGTAATGCTTGTTTAGTCACACCAGATTCAATCATGCTTTTTTAAAAAGTTATATCTGTTTTCTTTGGGTTTTTGATTGTTAATTGAATAAATTTTGTAATAAATGGTAAATTTTGCTTTTTTCTTACGAGAGATAAATGATGCAGCCTTACCAAGAATACTTTTATTGACTGACTCAATTTACAGTTGACAATGCTAAAATTAGGTCTGGTTGTAGCTGACAGTCATTCAAAACACAAAGTTTAAATGCTACTCATTGAGTGAGATTTTTTCCTAAAACTTTAACATTAACTGTTGGAGCCAACTCATGAATCCCTGAAGAAGTTTTATTGACGCTTTCAGAAAGTAATCAAAGGATGGACATCTACAACATATTAGCCTTTTCAAGATGGTCGCCACATCAAGGCAATCTTAGCAAGCACAAAAATGCTATAAAGCAACCAATTTTGAAAATATTGAGCTAAAATCTGGAGTGGTTGTAACTAAAACTGACTCCCAATTTATGCTTTAAGTGCAAACTGATCACACAAGATCTGTGTCTAAAACTTTGCCATTAATATTTGGAACCAACTGTTGTAACAATATTTTATATCTGGAACTGAGCACTGAATAAAACCAATGGAGCTGCTTGAAAGTTTGTACAYGCACAGGTGTTGAGTCACGTGAGTAGTCTAAAAAAAGCCTGGGTGAAGAGCCCCATTGAGCTAAAACTTGGGGWGATAGTAGCTGAGAGTAATCCACAACACATACTTTGAGTACAAAACATTGAGTGACTTTGCTTAAAACCTTGGCTTTAACTATTGATGTCAACCCAGTGTGTCTGTTACCAAAATATCCGATTAAATGGCACTCTTAGAAAGTAATTATTAGACATACAACGTTAACTGATTAACCTTTGGAGTCAACCAAATTAAGATATCTGCCAATCAGTCTTTGCCTACACAAAAATGGCTATACTTTAGTAAATATTACAAACATAGAGCTACTTGGTGTGGTTGAAAAGAAGTACTCACAACACATACTCCCACTGTCACATGAGATATCACAATATTGCATGAACACATGACCAACACATCTAACTCCTTCATTTTCATATGATGGTTTTAGTCGGAACTCTGGCATGAAAAACGGTGGCAGGATTCCTAGGCTTTCAATAATTAATTACAATCTGATTAGCTTTGTGATTTGAACTGTTGGTTGAATAAAATTCCACCATGAAATAAATATAAAACTTCTCTTTCATCATAAGAAAATAATTTTGATAAAGATAAGTAATGTAGCAATACTGCTTTTGTTTACTGTTTGATGCAGTTTTGTGTTTTGTAAGACTCCTATAAAAAGGGTTGAATATTATTCAGTAATAAACAATGTGAGGTGTTTGTATCTTACATGAAACACAAAAAYAAGTTTTATTAAATGACTTTAAACCTCACTGTTTTCTCTTCTCCCATGAAAGGCTTGATGTTCAGTGCACTTGTGCTGCTGTGTTGCTGCCTGCTGCAGAGCAAACATGCGACCACAGAGGGGCATTGTGAGACCAACCGCCATGTCTTCTATGTCGTTCAAATGGACGGAGGCACCCGGGCTGTCAGAGCTCTGGCCGAGCAGCACAGACTGGAGTTCATACAACGGGTCAGTGCATGTTTAAATCTCCTGTTATTGCCTCCACCTATGGGGCTGCAGCTGCAGAATCCTGTCACTGAGGGGTTTTTTTCTTTTCAAGAGCTGCCAAAGTGCTGACTTCTATTTCCTACTTGAGAGATATCTGACTTTCATCAAATCACAGCAGCGTTTCTGAATATTTCAAATCTGATCAAAGACGCACAGGGTAACACACACACACACACACATAGACAAACACACATACAAGAAGCCACATAATATGCTCCCAATAAAGGAGACTCATACACATGTTCACAAAATTATCAGCAGCCAAATTATCTTGTGTGTGAGAAAAATTTCCTACATGGTGATGGCTCCGAATGAATGCCACTGGAGATGATTGGGTCTTTAACTGTTTCTCTGAGTTTTAATCTGTCATGCTGAAATCTTTCCATTTCTCAGAGGACTGGATGTGATTTATCCACATCAATACTCCAAAGGTTACTTTGGTTGTTGAATCTGAAAGTGTGTCAGCTCTCTTAAAAATGTTTTTGGTTTCACTTGAAACGAGGCCACGAGGCAGGTCTGAATTAGGTGCGTTAAATTCTGATAGAAAAAGTTCAAGAAGTGTTTGGTGTTATGACGTATTTAGACATAACTTGTATTAATTAATTAATTAATTTAAATTAAATAAAATTAAATTAAATTATGAAATCCTGTTCCTGCTTTGATTGTTTCCTTTCATGGATTTAGAATGGAAATATTTAACTTCTATATGAAAGTAACATTTGCTAAATAATGCAAGTTATTAGGATATCTTGTATTTTTTTTTATTAAACACAATATAAGGAATTCTTTGTGGCAGCAGAAGATGGCACACTGAAGCACTTAGATAAATACGAAAAGCTGTAATGTAATAAGGAGCTTTTTCTTTTTAAAACAATAATTCAAACCACTAACTACTAATGGAAACACTACCTGAAATACCAACAGGCATCAACTTTCTTCTGTAAAGCCCAAATGGAGGTTTTTGGTGCTTCATTTTGTAATAATCTAAGCAGACAAAATCTATCTTTTGTTGTATAAACTTTATAAAAAGCAGAAAGTGGGAGTAGGATGTTAATTTGAAAAAAAAAAAGGTGGAAAGCTTAGACAGCTTAAAAGTGTGTGCAAGCATTCTGTGGTAAAAAATAAAAATTGAACATAAACCTTGTCTACATAGAAATACAATCTTTGAAACAGTTTTAGTTGCTGTCTCTAAAAATATTTTTGTAAATACAGCACTGTTTTGTAGAACTGTCTTCATCCACACAGAAACACTAAAAATGACACAAGATGACACAAAATGCTATAAGAACAATGCCAAGCCTGTATATTGTGCTGTAACTCTGCCAGAAAATTACAACAAAAACAGGAAACAATGTGAGGAGTGTACGCTTAAAGCTTACAATCTAGATGCTAATTGTAAACACAAGAAAAATATGTCCTCTGGTAGGTTACGTTAGAGGTAGAAATRTGACATGTCGTAGCTAAACAAGCTGAATGTTTTGATAGCCTGAATGGCTGAAATAGCTGAAGATACACTGAATTAGCTACAGTCCAAACAACCAGGAAAAAGACCTAGCGTGAGTACTGATTGTGCATCACCATAATACGTAAAGGGCTCCAGAGTTTGTGCATTGGCATCATGAACTGGTAAAATCTTTTATTTACATTTTTTTTAAAACTTCATAGTTTTGTATATATGCTTTATGCTGTGACACAAAGATGAGAGATCAATAAAATTCTGAATCAGTGTCTTTAAACATTCCCTCTTTTAGATTCAGTTTTAGTTGTCCAATTATTAATCCATCCATTCTCTGCTGCTTTTTTTTGGAGTCAGGTTGTGGTGAGAGTAGAACTGTAGACTAACCAGAAAACAGGAAGCTTTGTCTTGCAGTTTAGCTTCCTTTTCATCACAATGGACGAGCACAGAGTCTGCAATGCCGCAGATACTGTACCAATACAATTACTGATCTAACAACACATTCTTCCTTCACTTCAAAACAAAGCCCCAAATTAATACAACTCCTCCACTTGCGACAGGATCTCACTTCCAATGTGGAGAGGGCAGTCAACTGTTTTCTGACTGAGTACATTGGCCTCAGGTTTGGAGGTGCTAATCCTCATCCCAGCTGCTTCACACATGGCTCTGAACCTCTCCAGTGAGCGCCGGAGATCATAGCACTGTGATGCCAGCAGGACCGCATCAATTGGAGACATGAGGTCACTGAACCGGCCCTCCTCTCATGAATATGGTTGAAGGACTTCTCCATGACCATTGAACACATAGACTATCATGCCAGCAAACTCCCATGCCCCCTCGAGGAACCTAATAWGGATAATGAGCTAGTCCAGTGTTCCACAGCAGCGATGGAACCTGCATTGTTCCTCCTGACTTTGAGGCTCAACCATTGCCCAGAAAATGGGAACTACCACCTCAGTCTACCAATTCAGTGCCAAAGCCCCTTGATGCCCACTCAGTCACTGAGCCTTGAAGAACTCAAGACAGACCTCATCCACCAAAGGACTGACCAACCAAGCCCCCAAACTTAGCTTCCTCCATGAAAAACATTTTTAAAGGATTGAGAAGATCCTCAAAGAATTTCTTCCACCTCCTGATGACATCCCACTGGGTAAGATCTACAGCAGGGGTGTCAAACTCCAGTCCTCGAGGGCCGCTATCCTGCATGTTTTAGAGGTTTTCTTGCTCCAACACACCTGATGTTGATCGCTGGGTGATTAACAGGCTTCTGCCCAATTTGAAGAGTTAATTCAWTCACTGAATCAGGTGTGTTGGAGCTGGAAAACCTCTAAAACATGCAGGATAGCGGCCCTCGAGGACTGGAGTTTGACACCCCTGATCTATAGCATCTCACATCACTATATACAGTGTTGGTAAAGTACTGCTTTCCTATGATGGTTTGCAAGAATCTTCTTGGATCCAACTGAAGACATCACTGAACTTTTCTCACATTTGAGCATTAGACTCAGTAACTGCTAGGGCTGCAGTCTGCTTGGCCCATCTCTACCCGTCAGCTGCCTGTGGAGTCGTACTTGTTCACAAGTCCCACAGGACTCCACCAGTTTGACAACTTCCCTTATCCACCACTGGGTTTGAGCATGTCTGCTACAAGAGGCACCAAAGCTCAGAACAATCACCTTAACAAAGAAAGTGCAGAACATGGCCCACTTGGACTCTAAGTCTCTGATGAGATGTAGTTGACATTTTATCATAGGTGGGAGTTTACAATCACCTGACAAGTTTCTCAGTCTGGTCTATCTGGTCAGTCAAGCATATTCCCCTGTCATGTGATCCAACTCACAATCAGGTGGTGATCAGTTTACAACTCAGCTCATCTTTTCATTTGATCACCCAAAGCACTTGGCAGCAGATCATCACAGAACAGAACAGAATTCTTGTGTTCAGATCAGAGAGGCCATAGGCCCCTCCAGTTTAGATGCTACCTATGTGGGCAGTGGAATTATGAGCCTGGTGCCTCAGTCTCAATGTTGACAAATCCAGAAAGGAAACAGGTCCAGATCCTCTTAAAGAAACTGGTTCTAGAAACAATGTCATGCATTGATGTGAGTCCATGTACAGTATATCAAGTTAATACCCTTCAACCTAACMCTCAATCTCAGGCTCTTTCCTCACCAGAGAACTATCAGTCCATGTCCCAAGAGCCATCTTTGCTAAGCTATGATCCGAGTGCCAAATCTCAGGCATCTCAGGCGCCAAATCTCATCTGTGGGCTACCACCCACAGCACTGTGCACTGGACCTGTTTGGCCGCTTCTGCAGGTGATGCATCATCAGATAAGTGAACCCATGTAGCTCATTCAAGCTGAATCCAACTGGGCCCATGGGTAGAGTCCTGGTCACCAGGTGCTTGCCGACAAACACCTTCCCCAGGCCTGGCTCCAGGGCTAGGCCTCGGCAACCCACGATTGAGTGAGGGACATCATTGCTGTCTTCTGTCCATACAAATGTTGTGAATCATTCTTTGTCACTTTTTGTCTGTCACCTTGGGCAGGACTAATCTGCTATGGGAGACCCTACTGGGGGCAATTGCCACTAACAGCATACATAACTCCTAGGATTTTAAAAGCACACTAACTGATGATAATGATAATGATATGATGATGTTTGGCAAACAGATCTCTATTTGCCWAAATGCCCTCAGCCAGCACATGGAGAGTGTTGTGAACATCATGATGACAGAACATGCTGGTTTATCATGACTGATATCAATATTGCAGTATTCAACAATAACATCACAAATCTTAATGCTGCTCTTATGTGAAGATCTTTTTTTGTTTAGTCATACAGTCCTTCAAAGGTTTATAGACGTGATACTGGAAGGTGTGCGTGCAGTTTGACAGCATTGACTATAGAGTTATTGGGAGTGCCTACCAACCTGGTGTGATCTGTGTGCTTCATCCTCTCTGGGGATCGGGGATGCCAGCTCATTGTTACYTTGGCCCTGCTGCTCTGCTACTGCTGCCGCCTGGATCATGAATAAAACATGCCTTTGACCTTTTATCAGGAATGTATTGGACAGTCCACACCCGTGTCTTTCTTCTTGCTCCTCTCTCTCTCTCTGTTTCTCCCTCTCATTGTCCCCTGTATATGCACACATGAGCACTCCTGCTTTTCCTCTGTTGTTTTTGGCTCTTTCAAGTTTTAATTTGTAGTCCCTTGATGCAGTTTTAATATGTATCCACAAAAAAATTGCGTTTTAGAATTTTTCTTATTTTTATTCACAAATTATAGTTGTGTGTCATTATTTTTTGGTGGTGGGTCAGCTACTGCTGTTCAAATTGGTTAAATGAGTAGAAGAATGCAGCAGTGAAATCCAAAAGTTGCATATTGCCAGGGATCTACATTAACCATGTTCTCTAAACGTGTCTATCCAGTAACAATAAACCCAGGGATGAGCTCTGTCAGTCGTCCCTCAGGTCCAATATGCTGACTGGCTTCCTTTGCAC